GTTTTCGCCCCGGCCACCCCACTTGGGTTGGTGTTTACCCCCCCCCCCCCCCGCCCCCGTCCCGGGGCTCCTCATTAAAGACAAGGCCTGGCGCGGCTCCAGCCCTTCCATGGAAGCCGACATGTCGTATATTTATGAATGCATCGTGGGAGTTTTCCCCGTGGACAGGATGTACAAGGGAATACAAACACTTGTGATTCAATCCAAATATGCAAATGTTTCTCAGACTGGATGCTGTGAGGAGATAACACACGTCGTTGGAGACAGCTGTGTGCACAGGCAGAAATGCATGGACGTGTCGAGCGCGGAGCCAGTTTTTAATCGTTGCTGGTTTAACCATCATGTCGACACACATTCAAAGAAAGAAAATCATCGGAGCGTTCCGGTGAAAGGAGAGCGAGGGGGGAGTGAGAAGGTGAAGTGAGGAGACGTCACACTGCAACAAAAACAACTTCATATTATATTAGTATAAATATAATCAAAGAAAGTCGTTACTGTTTATTCTAAGTTTATTAAGTTGGACGCCTCGCAAGATTATTTGGGAGGATTTTTTGGAAACAAAAATGAGACTTATTTCATTTTGAGTCATTTTCACTTTCTTGATTTTTTTTTTTTTTTGCAGTGCAGCAACACGTGGCTGAGTCTGAAGTCAGTAAATGACCTAAAAAGTCAAAACAAAAAGAAAAGTAAACACACCTTGCAGCTTAAAGAAGTCTGACCAGTTACTACATACGGATGTGTTCTCACTCTCACCACTGTCTCAGTGGGCGTGGACGGCGACGACTGAAGACATAATTGTTGGTTACACGTCGTTAGCTTAAACGTATTGTCCTCATTTTTTTTTTTTTTTTTTACTGAGAGGAGGAACAAAAATCAGATTTTATTGCTTATTTTATCTGAAACAAATTAACCTCATAAATGTTTCCACACACTTCATTGGTCGCTGTGATCTACAGCTGGTTGGACTGATGTGGGCGGAGCCTGCAGGACGCCAGGCTCCAAAACCGATGCTTGGGTTCAGAGCAGTTTGATTTCTTTTGCAGATCTTCAAGTGCAAAAAGGGAAAAGCTTTTTAAAGCATTTATGGTTTAATTCCATTCAGGTTTACGCTGGAAAAGTGTTCGACGGGCCAAAAAAAAAAAAAAGTTAATGCGAAACTTTCTGTACAATAAAACTGGTCTGACCGCATGTCAGGCCCCAAAAATGACCCACAGACTGGGACCTGAGACAGGAAGATTAACACGCCGCTGACCTCATCTCATCGTACGCAGCTCAGTGGACGCCACATGCACCTGCACGTGTGTGAGACAACTGGCGTTGACTCAACCCGACACGTTTGTGTTTGCTTGCGTTGGCCGCCGTCCCCCGGTTTTTCCTTGAATAAGGCGGTGTTTTATTGTCGAGCGTTTCGACTGCTGGAACTCTCAGGGTTAAAAACATTAGGCCTGTCTCAACTGGAATGCTGAGGTAATGCTCTGGCTCCCGCTAATTCACATTACATGAGACATTCCCCACAGGATGAATCAAAAATTATGATGTTAGCTTAACCACTGCTTGATAATTGCACTTGTGGCTTTGTGAGTGTGTGCGCATGCTTGAAGTGCACTTTTTAAAATGCGAGCAGCGCCAGGTATGCAGGTTATCAAAATGTCAGAAGTGACATTTATACGACTCTGGTAACGTTCACGCTGCAGCGTAATGACCTGACGTTGGTTACATCCAAACACACCCAGAGGTTTGTTGTCTTTCCTGTAACTAAGTCAGAAAAACCATTTCAGAGGTCGCAGAGGTCAGGGATCATCAGTGTGTACTGGCTGCGTACTCGTACGCAGTACTTGGGTGTGTACTGTACTGACCTGTCGGGGGTGGAAAGGTACTTCTGCTTCTGGAACTTCTTCTCCAGGCCCATCAGCTGCAGCTCGGTGAAGATGGTGCGGCTGCGGCGCGGCTTCTTCAGGCGCGGCGTGCTGTGCTCCGTGTCCGACTCGCTGCTGATGCTGAGCGGCGTCTGGCTGGGCGAGGGCTCCGACCCCCGTGGATGCTGCGGGGACAGCAGGGACAGGTGCGGGGGCATGCCGCCGGGGGACGAGGGCTGGTGGAGGTGGGGGGACAGGTTCGGGGGCTGCCGTGTGATCACCGACAGGAGGGGGTAGGCACGGAGAGACGAGGATCCTGGGAAAAAAAAAAAAAAGAGAGACTGAGACAAAGTGTCACGTGACGAACTCAGAGCGATTATTTATCCACGGTTTTCTCTTGGTTCGCACTGATATCGACCGGGTTTAATGTCTTGGACAGGTTTATTCTAAATCGTAATGTGTTTGCAGTTGAACAGGGGGTTTTAAGGCGTGACCTCGTGTAGAGGTCGGCGACCTGGATGACGCAGCCGTGTTTCACCGCGCTCCCTTCAACTCTGCACATGAATGATTATTTTTCAGAGGTTGTTAAATACTTACCGGTTTCCCAACACAAAACCACAAGTACACACTGAGCCTGACAGCATGATATACACACACACACACACACACACACACACACACACACTGAAAGAGCTGTAATAAAACACAGAAAAACTGAAATGATACACTCCTCCTCATCCTCTCTCTCTCTCTCTCTCTCTCTCTCTGCTGGTCCGAGTCAAACGTTACACACACACAGACACATTTGTGCTCTTTATCAGAACAGACAGGAGCAGCAAGACGCCAGAATCAATAAAAAAGTAACACTTGTCTGGAGCCAAGGCTGGAGGGGGGGGGA